GTATAAAAAACGATCGGGGAAAGACTATTTAGAAACAATGCACTCAGGTCTTTAGTCCAGCTTTTCAGGAATAAATTCCCCTTTGTACGGATTTTAACAAATACTTCTGATTTATCTTTTTATTTTTTTTACAACTGCATTCTTCGACGGAACAAATTAAACTTATAAACAATATTAACAATTGCTTGGAAGCTTGCACAGCAACCATCCAGTGATGGTAGCCGTTAGTACACCATACGATGAGCGAAATGGACTCCATCCCAGGAGACCATGTCAAGTTCTGGGGTTGTCGCGGGGTCATCGACGCTTCACTCTTCTGGTAACGTGGTAGATGACAGGTTTTTACGATAGGGTTCGGATGATGGGGTAATTTGGATAGGAACATTTTGTAGCTGGATTGGGCTGATTGAGTAACAACTTAAGTAATTTAGGTCGGCATGGATGGTGTGATTGGAAACATAGAAAGGAGCATTGACTATGGTTCTGAGGATTAAAAAAGATTTAAAGATCTAAATCTAAAGATTGAAGGAATTGGATTCGATTGAGGTCGGAACGCTTTGCAGTCCCGTAATTCAAGTTCGTATGTCCAAATAGTGACCGGGGGGGGGGGTAATGGTAAGTTTTCCTTTGTTTATCAGTGAGAGTTTGTCCGTCGAGTAGTTTTAGCATGACAAATCGTATGTTACAATCTGTGTGCTTAAGTCGTGTATGGGGGTTCCACGCCAGTCGTTTAGGTAGAGTCTGCGGTATCGTACATGGTTCGCAAAAGGGATGGGAACATTGTTGAGGGACACTGGTGGGAGTGTTTTCTTTTGTTGATCTTGACTCCCCACTGTCGGGCCCAGCATTCTAGGATAGGTAAGTGATTTAGAGCTTTACGGGAAGCTGAGACAGGACCTTCATCAGGAGAAAGGATTGCGGCATCATCGGTAAAGGTGAGGGTGATAGTGTTAGGTTACGCTGGAAGGTCGGAGGTAGGTAGGCTGTCGACTGGAATAGGGCGAATAGGGCCGGATGATCGAAAAGGGAAGAACGAATGAGCACGCGTCCATTAAAACCGATTCGCTCGGTCGTGTTGGGCCGTGCACGGCCGAAGTACTTTCCGATCCAAATAAAGTTGGATTTTCCAGTTCTATTCGGCCAAATTGTTACTTCAAATTCCGCTGTCAACCACGTGACATCAAACGCTCATCATTGTTTAACGACGTTCTTTGCTTTTTGTTTACCTTTTCGTTTCGTTTTCATTTCGATGGTTTGCGAAAAATTGATAAGTGCTGTTGAGGAGAACCAGGCTCTTTGGGACATGCGTGATCCGCTCTTTCATCGGAAATATGTCCAGCGTAAGTTGTGGTCGAGGATAGCTTTAGAAATGGAACTTCCAACATTTTTGTATATTTCTTTCCCTCCATTCTTATGTAAACTAAGAATTTTCGAGCAGCAGGAAGTCTTTTACATCCATTTGGGCTGTTTCGTGAACTAACGAAAATCGGCTAAAGTGGACGACGGCGTTCGGCCATATTGCCGATCCTGTATTTGGTCAAATAGTTCGGATGTTGAAAGGTCGTCCTAGTTCGGTTCCAATGGACGAGCAGTAAAACTGAAAAAAGGAAAGGAGCAAGCAGCCCTGTGGGAGGGTAATACTTAAATTCTGGTTTCGATTAAAGTTAAAACATTTTTCTTTCAAATTTTTATTCGATTTTGTCTTTAAAAAATTATTATTATACTTTTATTTATTTATTAATAATAATTATTTATATATTTATAATTTATAAATTATGAAACGCGGTGCATTTATTGGTAGAAAACGTGACCTACAAAATCGGTGGATGTAATACATTTGTCGTGTATAAAACAAAGGTGAGGGAGGAGACTTGGCCAAAAATGTGTCCACCTTGCGTGAATTATTACACTTTTCGCTCGAGTAGAGTCCCTAAAGACTTGTTTACACGCGTTTTTATTTATTTTGGCTTGATGTTTATATGTATTTATATTTTACGAGCCCGTAGATTCGAAATGTTGTTATTTATCAGTACCGTTTTTAATTAATGTCGTGTCTAAACCTTGTCGGTATATCTTAGGTGTATTCTTACGAGAATTAATAGGACGTTTACAGTCGACCCGTATTATTTATATATTTCTCATTAATGTTAATTAGAACGGAACAAAATCAAGTCTATTATATAACGTATCTTAACGACTTTCAAAAATGGCGCGCTTCCGTCATTTATAAGGGAAATCGCTTGAACTTTGTTTGTACAATGATTTTCATCGCTTTAGAATGGCCATTCATAAACTGGTACAAAATATGCCATAAAAAATAAATTCTCGCCGTTTAAAATAATGTTTTCAACGACACAAAATAACACCTCGACAGCTTACTACATTTTTAAAAATTCTGCTTTAAAGACTTACGTTACTAAGTACGAAAAAAGAACAATTAAAAACCCAATTTCCAATTGTTTTGTACTTGTTTACATTTTTTTAAATTACAATTAATTAAGGTTTTTAGTTGAGATACAAAATTCAATGGCACGAGCGGGATTCGAACCCACGATCTTCGGCTAGATACGCCGCTGCTCTACCACTTGAGCTATCGTGTCCTCGATCCACTCGGACACCAACTTCCCATCTCAACCGCACCTTTTGAATTTTCCCTCCTTTTTGCAATTTTTCAAATGTCGTATAATCGGATTGGATTCTCGGCGACAAATGAAATGGCCACGGAGAGCTTTAGTGAAGTATACTTCATTTTAATTCATTAAATTCACTAATTTCGTGGTCCGTTTGACCAATTAATTGTAATATATTAATTGGTCAAGCGGACCACGAAATTAGTGATTTTTTTTTTAAGTTAAAGCATTTTATTTTATTCATTGCTGTATAAAATATACAGTGAGCAAATAGTTAAGCATAAACAAATCTGACAGACCTGTCAGACCAGGAGGCATGGGGAGAGAAACCAACCAGTGCTGGATCTCTTTTTTATTTAATTGGGTGGGTTGTGATACACGGTCACCAGGCCATCGTCGTTTTAAACGGCGTGGAGGATTGTAAGGGTGAGATGTTGAGGAAAGAGTTAGGGTTAGTGGGTTAAGGTGGAGGGAGAGCTTAGTGTGGAAAATGAAGAAGTGTGTTCGGATAAGATCTTTCACGAAAGGGATTTCAAGATCTTTATGGATCAGTTTGATTTGTAACATAGAAAGGGAGCATTGAGGATACGGCGGAGAATTTTAGATTGATAAGATTGAATACGTTGGATTGGATAATTTGGCCGAGCTCCAAAGTTCGACTCTGTAGGTCCAAATAGGTCTAATGAGTGTTTTGTAAGTGGTTAGTTTGTTATGTATGCTTAGTGTTGATTTTGGTCCAAGTAGGTGTCTGAGTTCATATCTTTTCTTAATTTCTTACCGTTTTAATCTTGTATTCCATGTAAGTCAGTAAGTCTACTATCTAAGTAAAGCCCAAGGTAGCGCGGACTTGGTTCGATGGTGATATTATCTTGTTGTAAATATGCACTGGTGGACTGGTTTCACGTTTGAGCGTAAACGTAACTTGTTGGTTTTTTGTTCATTTAACCTGATCCGCCATAGATTGCACCAGGTGGTAATGAGGTTCAGGTGTTGTTGGATTGATTCTGTGGCTAGGATAGGATTGGAGGGTGTTGATAAGATTGCGGTGTCGTCCGCGTAAGTATGGGTATGTAGCAGTATAGATGGTGTAGAGGGTTGGCCCTAGGATACTTCCTTGTGGAACGCCAGCTCTGATTGGCGTGATAGGTGAAAAAGGTGCCGATTCTTACTGTAAACCGTTTTCAAAAGGAACGATTTCAGGATAAGATAATAGGAATGACGGAGGATACGTTTTAACTTACAAAGGAGGCCGATGTGTTATATTCGGTCAAATACTTCCGTTCGTCCAGAAATACGACTGAACAGTATTGTTTGTTTTCTAGAGCCGAGAATATCGTGTCGACTACTCTCAAGCACTGCTGAACAGTGGAATGGAGAGGTCGAAACCCAAATTTGTTTGGTTTGTAATTAAGTTTTCAGAGTCGAATATGGGACTTTGTCTTTTAAAGAGGGGACGTTCAAAGATTTTGGATAAAATAGGAAGGAGGCTTATTGGTCTGTAAGAGGATGTAGCACTGCGGGATTTGTGTGGTTACGGTGTTGGGGTTATTAAAGATAGTTTCCACTGGATGGGGAAATAGGCTGTACGAAATATTGCATTGTATATAGAATTACATGTACACTATTGCTTTTTTGGGTAGATTTCGGCTGATTTTAGTATAATAAGATCATGGCCCGGGGATTTTCTTTGGGAAAGGCGGAGAATCTGATATATGACGTCTGCAGGGTGGATGGGTTTAGGGGGCAGAGCGAGAGGGAGAGAAGAGTCAAGGAATTCATTGATCATTTCAGGATGGGGAGTAAAAACTGTGGAAAAGTGATCGGAAAGTAGCTGACGCTTTTCTGCGTTTGACCTGGCCCAGGTACCGTTCGGATTTCTAATTGGAGAAGGCACTTGGTAGTGTTTGGTAACCTTCCTAGTGGCTAAATATAAATTTAAATAGATATATGTTCTAAAGCCAACCTGAGTATTATATTTGGACTTTCACCCGAAGGGCTGTCACGCCGCGATGTGCTGGCCCTTGGGGTCTGCCGAGTTCACCACTAGTACACCGCTAGTATCTTCCCTTAAATCATATGCCGATGAGACTGTCGTTCCCAACCAACGGGGGCTTTCGACAGCTAGGTCCTTTTAGCCCACAACTCATGCAAAACTAGATGTAGATGAAGATGTATTAGTCGGGGATGCCTTTCATAGCTGAAGCCGTAGTTAGTATTACAGTCGCGCAAAGAAATACGTTCATATCTGTCTGCATTGATACAATGGTATAACAATCGCCTTTGCGTTAAATGCTTTCACGTGGAACAAGCAAATCACATCAATATGCACTTTAGATTACATTATAACAGTAATAAGTTGGTGAAAAAATAATATAAGCCAGATTTTTTGTTTATTTTTATTCTGTAAACCACTCAATTTAAACTTCAACTTACACTTTTCATAATCTCCTTAGTCTTTGACGCAAGTATTTTTTGAATAGAGGTTCAACATCAACGTCGAATAAATGCCTGTTCTGTTGCCTTTTATCTGTTCAAAAAGCGGACCAGCGTCCATTTGATCCATCAATATTTTAATATAGGCGTTCATCTGGAAAAATGGTTCAATGTTCAATTAATTATGCACAATTTTTTCGAAATGAAAAGTCTGTTTCACAGGCGGGATTCGAACCCACGACTTTCGGTTCAATACGCCGCTGCTCTACCACTTGAGGTACAATGAATGAGAAGTTTGTAGCATGGGCGATCGAAGTCACGGTAGCTCAAGTGGTAGAGTAGCGGCGTATTGAACCGAAAGTCGTGGGTTCGAATCCCGCCTGTGACACAAATTTTTCATTTCGAAAAAATTGCGTATAATTAATTGAGTATTTATAGAATTACGTAGAAGCTGATAAGATAATTAAACATTTAGTATGGTTCGATGTGTTCACCTGAAATTCGAAAAAACGTTTTAGTTACTTACCGGTTGCAGCCAGCACAACGAAGTTTCGTAGCCGATCGCACAAGGGTCTACTTCACGTCTGACAACTGAAAAAGAAAAATGACGATTTTATTCGGAAAATTCGGAATTTTTGAGGAATGAAATTCATTCGTAATAGAAAAGTTCCTCGCCTCGTGAAACACATTCGTGCAGCGTTTTGTTCATCGCAGTTGCATTTGAACTTTCAAAATACATAAAGGCGGGTGCTATAGTTTCCTCCATGTCAAGCTCTCCGGTTTCCGTAATCTATTGGATAAAAAACAAAAAAGTCCAATTAATCAATTAGCTCCTTGGCTTCTGATTTAGCGAATGTCAGAAAATGTGAAATTTTTTCTAGAAAATCTTCAACAATAAAATAATTAACTTTAGCCAAAAGCCGAAAATCAATAAATAAAATTAAAAATGAATACAAAGTTATTTTCTGTTTGTGAAAATGCTCAGAAATGAGGATTAAAATTCTTTTTATGTACTATTTTTCCTTCGGTCATTTTATACTGAAGCAGACCGTAGAACATTTCAAATCTATCTAAACCTATCTATGATATACATTTATATACGTACAAATCCTGTGCAATTGAACAGGCAGGCGATGTAGCATTTCGCCTCGTAACCCAATCCTTCCTCATCTGGAAAATAACATATAAATTTGTTTTCTACGCTAATCTCTCGTACTAATTGATAATTTACCATTTGACATTTCCGTCATATTTGTTATACTGCATCCTTTAAACGCGCCTTGGGTCTGCAAAAGACGAAAGTTTTTAATTTAAACAAACGTAGAAAATCTATGAAAGATATTTACATTTGTGAAGGAACACACGAAGGCGACCAAAGCTAATGCGAGTGAACGATTCATTGTGCTCTTTAACTATGAATTCTTGTTTTTCTGGAGTCGACACATTTTATAGAAACGACGAAGGCCGACAATAAATGAAAATAATACACGATGACTGACTGGCAAATTATCGTTTCCTGTTTTATTTTGTAAACGTTCAGAATTTAAAATAATGATTTCAAAAGGTGACAGGATGTATTTAAATTTATTTTTGCGCAAATTAATAGCGCCATTCAACAACTCTCCCAAACGCATAATGAGAATTACACATTTATTGGAGTTGGATCAAGTGAGACACCAAGATAAATACCTATATTACACATATGTTTTCTATGCTTTTCATCTTCCTTTTCTTTCTCAAATATAATTTTATGCATTGGAATAGATTTGAATTCACCAGATTTCCATAAATTCTTCGAATATTCCAGCATTCGATCGAGTTTTTCTCCTTGTTTTATTTGCTGCGTTAACGTTTATTTACAGCAAATAAGCACGCAAAATCAGATATAAGAATGTAATATATCCAATCACAGCTTTCAGTTGTCAAGAAAAATTTTTCGTATATGAAGACTACATAAATCCGTAATTGACATTAGCATGTTAATATCGAACACGACCACTTATTGTTGTTTACCTTTTCTTTTTGCCTATCATTCAAACAGTATTGATGGATGAAATCAGAAGGTTATGCTTTAATATGACTTGTAAGTAAGTGTTTAATTTGTTGGGCGGATACGCTGCAAAAAAGGCGGGTTTAAAAAACTTTGAATTTCAAAACTACAATATTACACAGCTAGGAAGACAGAAGGGAATTAAATAGAGTAGAAAATTAGAATTTTTTTTCGGTACTTTCAAAAGGTCTTTGTGAAGTAGACGTTTTTGTGTTCACCAAGCTTTCTGCGACTTATATCGCCATCCTCAGGGGTTGCTTATTGAAAAATACATACATTAACAGAGTTATATGTATGCACACTTGTTGAAAAATACATAAATTAACAGAATTATATATATGTGTACTTATTGAAAAATACATTAACAAATTATATGTATGTATAGTTGTTGAAAAATACATACATCAACAGAGTTATATGTATACTTGTAGAAACATACATACATTAACAGAGTAATATGTATGTATACTTATTGAAAAATACATACATTAAGAGAGTTGTATGTATGTATACTTGTTGAAAAATACACACATTAACATAAATATATGTATGTGTAGTTATTGAAAAATACATACATTAACAGAATTAAATGTATATATATTTATTGAAAAATACATACATCAACAGAGTTTTACGTGTTTAAATTCGGTCGGAACAATGTCCAAACAGCCAGAAACATTGTGAAATCTGGGGCGATGGCAGAGATGGCTAAAAAAATTCGAGAAGGAGACATTTGCCTTGAAGAGAAAGGTCGTGGAAGGATTTCATCCCTAGATGAAGATGTTCTGCGAGCTTTGGTCGAAGAAAATCCCAGAACAACTAACTGCTCGAGAACTTGCAGAGAATGTTTCGGTTACCGGTTACCGTCGCTGACCATCTTAAGGCAATTGGAAAGGTGAAAAAGCTCGAAAGTTGTTTCCTCTTGCATTAAACGACCGCCAAAAATATCATCGTTATGAAGTTTGCGGAACGCTTCTTCGCCGCAACACAAACAAACCTTTTCTGGAAGGAATTGTTATTTGCGATGGAAAGTGGATTCTCTGCGATAACAGCAGACAGAAGGGGAGAAGTGCCTCATTTTCCAAAGCCCCAACTCATAAAAAAAAGGTGATGGTGACTCTTTTGTGAGTTTCTTTTGGGCGGACACCTTGTTGAACAATGGCGAAATGATCAATGCCGAAAAGTACTGCTCTCAAATTGAAGCAATCCACGAGAAATTGGCATTATTGAAGCCATGTTTGGTCAATCGGAAAAGGCTGATTCAGTTACACGACGACGCTCGGCCCCTTGTCTGCCTCACCCTCCATATTCTCCAGACCTTTCGCCTGTTACCATTTTTTGACTCACCTGAACAACGTTTTGCACCATAAAAAATATATTGGTAAATACCTTTAGAAAATGCATTTGCAGAATTTGTTATTAATAAGGACTCAAAATTCTATTAGAGAGTATAGAAAAATCGCCATCACGCTGGGAGAATTGTATTGAGAGAAATGCAGGATATTTTAATCAGCAGTGATGGATGAAATCGGTTAGAAAATTATGCCATAATATGACAAATGTATATGTATGATATTTGGTTATTGAATTCTAGATTGCGTGTTGAAGGTTACTGACGATTTTGCAACTTTGGGTATCTCAAAATATCAGTCATTTACAATATTTATGTGTTTAACATTACAGTAAAGTTAGTTTGGTTTGAAGTAGTATTTCGAATCGGGTTCCTTTTCACAAGGGCCGTGAGCGTGATGGCATGGATTGTGCGTATCTCGGCAGTAATAGATCTAAAAAGAAGAAAAGATCTTTTTTAAAAGGCCATTTGGAGATAAGAAAACGACGAACCCACGCTCAGTAAACTTCTTCAGAAACGACTCCACGAACCTGTGCGTATGGTGCCCCCGATAACACCAGCTGCTGAATTGCGTGAGTCACGCAGCGCACTGACTCCTCAATGCTCGGTTCGGAACCGTATGAAAAATTGAGCTTCTACCTTTGATGTCATTCCCACTTAATTAAAAAAAATTGCAGGATTACACAATGATAATCCCGACGGCGTAGAAAAATCGATTGGATTAATTTCCGAATAAACGTTGCATTTTCAACTAAATTTGACTAATTAAATTGCCAAATTAGTACAATAGAATGTGTACGTACTATGTGTATTCATGTAACCGTGTACTCTGAAAGGACTGTTCGGATAATTTATTATTTAACAACAGATGGGGTTTTTCGTTGTGTTGTAATATATTGCAGTTACCAAGTTGATTAAGCATGATTAGAGTTTTTTTTTTTATAGACGTTCGATATTTGTTTATGTGGCAATTAAATATTCCGATATTTCATTAATCGTATTAATCAGACTGTAAATGATTTGTATATTCCATTATATTTCATGATCCCATTGAACAAATAACTTCTTTCAATTAATTAATCTTTATGTAAGGGATTAGTTGAAATGAAAAAGCTAGTGTCACGAGTGGGATTCGAACCCACGACCTTAGGCTAAAAACGCCGCTGCTCGACCACTTGAGCTATCGTGACTTCGATCCACCGAAGGTCGTGGGTTCGAATCCCGCTCGTGGCACTAGCTTTTTCATTTCGACCAAAACCTTACATAAAAAGATTAATTAAATGAGCTATCGTGACTTCGATCCACTCGGACATCAACTTCTCACTTCAATCTACCTTTCGAGGGAAAATTCTTGTAATGTTACTCGATGATTGACATGCGAGTTGTTGAAGACGACGTACAACTAGGTAAGTTTGTCATTTCCAAACCGGAGTATGTACTAAAATTATGATTTGATCCGTTCCTCCACTCTTTCGAGAAGAGCGAACGGCAGCGAGTTTCCAATAGATGAGTAGGGAGGATCTCCTTTCGAGTGTGAAGAAAGTTTAAAACAACTAAGCCTCATCTTAAAAAGCCATGGGGCTTTTTTGAAACAAGCATTTTTTATAATCACTTTAGTGAAGTCAATAGCCTTTTTAAAAGCCGGGTTAATAAACTGTATTAAATATTTTCAGAAGGGGCAAAAGGAAGCCTGACTCTCGTTAATTAACTTTTGCGGGGACGTGCTTCGCCCCGGTTGAATCACGCACGGCTTTGTGTTATGGTCGGTGTAAAAGTATCTCGAAAATGTTGAGATGTTGTGATGAGTTGCCCGTTTCGTCCTATTTTCTCTTCTTTATTTACACCTGCGTCTATTGTGGCGCTTAAGTAATGCTGTTAATATCATACAGCATAGTCATTCCTATATATTAATAACTTCCCTGTTACTTAGAAGGTCGCGAGGCCATTGACGCTTTAGCCGTCGGAGGGTGATTTGGAAGGGTCGGAATGAAAGGTTTCTGGCATGACGGTTGTTGTTGACTGTAAAAATTATAAAAATATGTAATGAATTAGGTGTCCTAACCAGCAGACCACGCAGACGTCTTTGACAAACCGTGGACCAGCGTTCCAACAATTGCTGAGAACTTGTCACATGACTGTACTGTTGGACGACAAAAAATATGGCGAAAAGCTAATGAAGCATCGGAAACGAAAAATGAGGCCGTGTTAAACGTTGGCCTCATATTTTTCGTTTCCAATGCTTTAGCTTTTCGCCATACTTATTGACTTTCATCTGACCCAAAAGTCGACTTTCATCCGAGAAAATTTCCAAAACGATGGTGGCTTTTGGATAGTTGTACGGTTTCTTCCTGGAAACTCGGCAAAAAAATTCTCTCGTAACTTGTTCCTCACCGTTTGATGAGTAACTGTTAAACCATAGTCATGTGACCAATTCTCAGCAATGAATGAGCACCAGTCCACGGTCTGTCGAGGACTGTTTTTTAAATTTCACGTTTGTGCAGCTGATTCATTTTTGGTGGTCTGCCCGATGGACCACTTAATTCATTATATATTTTTATAATTTGTGAAATTGTACCTTAATTATTATTAAGTCTTTACAATTTCCCTCAAGGTCTTACCTGATTTCTTAAGGAAACAATGAATTCGTGAATGGGCTTCAAAGTACTTCCATCATGAAAGCTAATCACAGTCTGAAAGGATTTCGATTCATATGTCTTGGTTTCTGACCTTCGTCCTTTGTAAAATAAGAGTAGTTTCATTATGGGGAAATAACCTATTTTGGACAGGGAGGAACGTAAGTATAAAACTTAGTTGTATTTCAAGACTTTTTTTGCCCAGTGTACTTGACGTCTCGAACTTGAACAGGTTGTTTTTTAATGTTTAATTCGTCAATTATTTCGTGGATTGTGCCATTTCAATACTTTCAATGTCGTTTTCCAGTCAGCGAGTCCTTGCCCCCGAGTCGTTACGGAGAAAGGGTGAGTTATTACGACCCTCGGATCCGTTCAAATTGATACAAATTGTATCGGGACGATCGCGTGTCGGTACGTCCGAAGGCCCGGTGAAATTTCGAGCAATTCGGATCTTTCTAGGTCGCGGTTCCAAGTAAAAGAAGCCTTCCTTGACTACGTCGGTGAACACGCGACCGCAGCCAGTCTCTCACGAGCAGCAGAAAGCTCAACTCGGGATTCGCGGCGGGAAGCAGCGTCTAACACATACGGTTGACTTTTCTCGGAAAAACTAAAAAAAAGAGAAAAACTTCCAATCGATGCATCGGGGCTTAACTGAGGCTTGAATGCCACCTCGCCCGATTCACTCGAGTCCGAGGCTTCGTCCGATCGACGTCTCCTGAAAACCTCGGATGTCCTTCCCGTACGGATTGCCGGCTTAGCTTTTTTCACCATATCAAGCCCACAAAACTTGTCTTTCAGAAGAATCAATTCCTATTCTCCGAATCCGTCTGGCTATGGCCGCGGTTATGCACGACTGTATCGAAAGGTGTTTCGATTCTCTCGTCTCATGCGACGAAATATTGAAAGGTCAGTAAGGTCTATCTCATAATTTGAAACATCTAATCAATCAAATATCAGGCGAATCTTGCGAGTGTCCAATCACAGACGACTTCGGGCCCAAGAAGCGATTCACCGTCTCTGTTCTCAAAAACAAAGTTTCTGAAAACTCCAAACATTTTTACATCGTACGAGATGACATATGGTTTGATTTTATATATAAAAATAATAAAACAAAAAAAAAACAGCAAAGCTAAATCAGAGGTCTGTTTTTTTGTCTCGCCTTTCTCCACCTGCTTCAACTTGGAAAATTTTTGTGACTAATCCAAAACTGTTTTTCGACATCATCGGCTTAAAATTGCAGACAGAGATACAACTAACTGAATTTCAAGAGACAAATTGTGTGCTCGTAATTTGTTTGCTTTCGCGACTGAATGGCTCTGTACTGGATCAGTTATCATCTTTTGTCATTTGTCGGATGGTTGGTTATTCGATTCGGTGAGAACGCTTTATTTAACTTCATTTTTAGTTTGTTAACTGAATTAGTGAAATTTTAATTTTTTCGGTGTTTTTTTCCTCAAACCAATAGCCTTCATTGGTATGGTCAGTTAATATTTTAAAGTTAAATTTATCTTTCACAAAATATTCACTGTAGATACATAATTCATTATCTAATTGCAATGCTTTACTGTTTCAATCTGTACAATATGAAATAAAGTTAGGGAAATTTTTTTAAAACTTGAGAACGGAAAATTATTATTTATTTATTTTTATTATTATAAAATTTATTTTATCACATAATTATATTATAAAATTATTTTTAAGGAAACGATTGAATTTGTCTAATTAAACGCACGATTAAGTTAAGAGTTGTTTTTAGCATACATTTTATGCCATTTATGTATTTTATTGGGGTGTTGGTGGCCGCAAAGTTTGAGGCGTTGACACGGCGCTGATCACTGTAAGGTAAAAGTCCCGTAAAGTAAAAGACTTACAAACAGGCTTTTTTGCAAATACACTCTCACTCCAGGGTTGATATGACCTCTGCTGTTGGGAACCCTCGTGAAAAAATTTAAACTTCGTGTAAGCGATAAAATTAATTTTCAAAGTAGTCGAAAATGAATTTTTTTTCTTGGATTTCTAAAATTCCGTTGAGAACTTATCATTCAGTTTGATTTCCCCCAGTCTCATCTCTATTTAAAGCATAATTTTTCAAAAATTCGATTGTCTTTTAATTTAATTTAAATTCTGAAATTATTATTCGGAAATCGTGAGATGCGGTCTGGTGTGATGTAGATTTCAGAAAAACATTTTCTTTATCGTGCCAACGTTTCGATCTTTATTGAGATCTTCTTCAGGGCCTGGGATTTACAAACATTGTTTACATTTAACAAATACATGTAGGATGTGGAAAAAAGTTAATTTATACAATGCAATTTTTTTTTTGTATATTCAATCAAAGTATTTCTACTCACTGAAAGTGTATGAAATTATTCCAAAACACTCCCAATTAAACAAAAAACAAAGAACAATATTGTTTCACAAAATCGCCAGGTCGGAAGAGTGTAACAAATCGTAACATTATTTAATAAATCTGTTATTTTAATTAAGTAGAACCGACTGTGTTATGAAGGACGACGTTTGTTAAATGTGTCCCTCATTTCTCAACTATTATTATATTATGTTGCCCGAGTGTCCTGTTCGAAACCTTGACGAATTCAGGAACATTTAAAAATAAAGAGCCTGGCATACATGATTTTATTTGAATAATACACACTCCTGTAAATCCCGGTTGGTCGAGATGGTCCGTTCGATTGAATTGAGAAAGTACTGCAAACTGGCCTGACTCTTCCCTTTAATACACTATTTAACAGTTTGGGCTTTATTTAAATTGATTTTTGTATGTTCATTTTCGATTGGGCTAGGATGACATTTTGAAGGAATAAAGATCCAAGCGTTCGAGTGCCTTTAATCAGTTTTGTAAAGTTGTTAGTTTGTAAGAACAAATTTTCTTTCTTAATTTTGTTCAATTTGGATTTCAACCTCTCTATTATAATGTTCAGCAGTGGTTCAGAGTCGTATAGTATAGATATCCACAGATCCAGAAAAAACAATATTGCTCGGGCGTATTTCTGGACGTTACGGAAGCATTCGACTGAGTGTGACTTTACAAGTTAAAACGTATCCTCCTTCACACCTACTATCTCATCCTGAAGTCTTTCTCCCGGATCGATGGTTTAAAGTGAGAATAGAAAACGATTTTTCAATCAAAGCTGGCGTCTCAAAAGGAATTATCCTATGTCCAATCCTCTTCACCATATACACTGCTGACATACCTACACATGCAAACACAACCTAGCGGACATATACGGATCTATATACAATGCTATATTTCGTACAGCCTATTTCCCCATCCAGTGGAAACTATCTTTAATAACCCCAACACCGTAACCACACAAATCCCGCAGTGCCACATCCTCTTACAGACCAATAAGCCTCCTTCTTATTTTATCCAAAATCTTTGAACGTCTCCCCCTTAAAAAACTAATTCCCATATTCGACACTGAAAACATAATTACAAACCAAACAAATTTGGGTTTCGACCTCTCCATTCCACTGTTCAGCAGTGCTTGAGAGTAGTCGACACGATATCCTCGGCTCTAAAAAACAAACAATACTGCTCAGTCGTATTTCTGGACGTACGGAAGCATTTGACCGAATATAACCCCCGGCCTCCTTTGTAAGTTAAAACGTATCCTCCCTCATTCCTATATCTTATCCTGAAATCGTTCTTCTCGGAACGGTGGTTTAAAGATAGAATCGGCACCGATTTTTCACCTATCAAAGCTGGCGTTCCACAAGGAAGTATGTACGCCCAATCCTCTATAGTCTATACCATCTATCTGCTGACATACCCATACATTCAAACACACAACTCACAACCTACGCGGACGACACCGCAATCTTATCAACACACTCCAATCCTATCCTAGCAACAAAATTAATTCAACAACACCTGAACCTAATTACCGACTGGTACACTCGGTGGCGGATAAGGTTGAACGAGAAAAAAAGCCGACCAGTTACGTTTCCGCTCGAACGTACACTACCCACCTAAACAACAAGGTAATACCATCATCCAACCAGGTCACCTTGGGCTTTACTTAGATAGCAGACTTGCCTGCAACAAAAAATACTAAAATGACAAGATAATACTTATTATACGGATTTGAACTTACGGAGTCGAACTGTGGAGCTCAGCCAAATCCTCCAGCATCCAACGAATTCATTCGTTTCGATCAAAATTATCTGCCGTATCCTCAATGCTTCCTTTTACATCACCAATCAAATGATCCATAATGATCTTAAAATCTGATTAGTGAACGATCTGATCCGAACATGCTTCCTCAATTTTTACTCTAAACTAACCCCCCACCCTTACCCACTGGTCAGACTCATTCCTCAATGACACACCCTTATTCCCCACGCAGCTTAAAACGACGATGGCCCCATGTCCTCCCTCATACCTTAACTCTCCCAATTAAATAAAGAGACTGGCTGTTTCCCCACTGCCTCCCGGTCTGACAGATTTATATATAACTGTTCTGTTTGCTCAATGTATTTTGTACAGATAAAATAAGTTTAAAAAAAATTTGTTCAAAAAGTGATGCCGTTATTAGCAACAATGCACGTGCAGTTGAATTTTTGGTATTTTTCATTGTGTTAGACGGGCGTAATAAATTAAAAATCCATCTTTTACAGTTAATTTTTGTTTTTCTTCAAAGTTGCGGGTTATTCGATAAAAATTTCCAAATAGACATTTCAGAGTGGATAAAACCAAAGTTTCAATTGAAGGCATTACGTAATTTGACCATTACACCGTTAAAAATGACTTGATTATAGCTATTAAGGCTAATGCAAAAAATAATTAATAAAAATAATTTACATACACCAGAAAAAATAACTTTATTTTTACATTAGAAATGTGTAAAAAGGATTTAGAATATTAATATTATATTCAACTGTTTTACAATGATTCAAAAACGTCTTAAGGGCCAAGAACGCTCTCACAGATCAAATCTATCTGTATTTACATTTTCGTTTTATTTATACATCAAATTGAATTATGTAATGACGAGTAAATTAATGTTAAAACCTAGATTGTGAGGCGGCAAACGTATTCTTCACCTCTGGACTTGTGTAGCCGAGTCAAAAAGAATTTTTCTGTGAGAAAAACTACTATGGGTAGCGAGGATGGTAACATAAAATAGTGTTTAGCATAACTTCTTAGACTTTGGCTTCCTTGTCGAAAGGCAGTGGCAAATTTTTTTTCGCGACAACAACAGCGGCAGGAATACGTTTACCAAACTCCTAAACAGAGGTTAACAAACTCATAATGACAATTTCTTGCTCAGGGTAGATAGTAAAGGATAAAGATCATAATGGCCGCCACCGCCAACGATATTTTCAACCTGATCGACATCCCCTCAGATAATGAGGAGCAGCTGTCCGATGATAGCTTCAGCGATCTCAGGATGGTCCTGGACGCGGATATGAACTTATGCGATGTCCCAGATAGTAATTGTTTCCAACGTAAGTCTTCGGTTAAATTGCCTCTGCCTTTTCGATCTGTAAGCTAGCGTTTAAGAAAATGTGATTTATTTGAAAAACGGATGTATGTTTAGTTTTAATTTCGTGACTTGAGCTGTTGTAAGCAGTCTATTGCAATCATTTGTCAATTGTTTTTTAACAGGTTCCTACTTGAGCAGTCTGCTGGCCAACACGCTCAAGAGCAACCAAGTAGAGATTAACACAGACAGCAAAAGTCTGAAATCGATTGCGAGACTGAAAGAGCCCAGAGACTTGTTCACGTTGCCTAAAGAGCCGGAATGTGCCCAAGAAGCCGCGAGGTGGCCTTCGGAGTGCCAGGTCGTCGACATGAAGATACACCACATCGAGGTGATGCCCAACATACCCGAAGTCTACTACACAAGCAGTGGCAAAGAGATTGTGGTTAAAGTCATCGGGGAAGACGCCGGACAGATCGTCTATCAATACAACCCGATGAGCGCTGTCAATTACGTTAGTCTCCTAATTTTTACCATTTATAAATGTAGTTAACTATGAATTTTTCTGTTTTTCCCCTCTTTTTCTTTCTGGTTTGTTTGTTTTAAATAGATTTTTATTGCAGTTTACGAGGTCTATTAGTGGGGGCAACAGAATCCCGCCGAGCTGCCCCGTAAACGGCGATCTGAAATTTGAATCCAGGTTTGAGTCTGGAAATTTGGCGAAGGCTGTGAAAATTACAGAAACTTACTACGAGCTCTCGATTAGGGCCGACTTGTACACCAATAAGCACATGCAATGGTTCTACTTTATGGTAGAAAACACAAAAAAAGGAGTTCTTTACAGGTACTGTTCACATTACAGTATTATCGGGGTATTTTTTTTTCGTTACGAAAATAAGAGTACCTATTCCATTTTGAGGTATGCTACAGGTTTACTGTGTATGTTGCCTCCATAACCCATAATGAATGCAACAAACTAGATCCAATGTCATCCTCGCAATCGAGGACCTCATCAAAAGAACAATATACTTATAATCACCAAATTTAGAGAAAATTTATTATCTATTTGCCATTGTGTAAATAAAATTTAAATTTTTATAATTACCTGTTTCTTGTTCTAAATGTAGGTATATTTTAGCACATCATGCAGTAATTTAGTCAGGAACCGTTTTGAAACTAAAAAAAGTTTTCTTTTAAAGTCATGATATTACTCTGTATTATAAAATTATTGATTGGTTTTTAGGTTCAGCATCGTCAATTTATTGAAAGGTGACAGCCTCTACAATGAAGGCATGCGGCCTGTCTTATATTCTTGTAAGGATGCCGTGATCAGGAAGATTGGCTGGAGACGTTGTGGCACGAATATAAACTACTACCAGAATGATCTGAAGTAGGGTCTTTATAAAATTACAACACTGCTCGAACTCAATATCAAAGTTCTATTTTCAGTGGAGAAGACGAACAAAATTCCACTTACACATTGACTTTCAACTTGGAGTTTCCTTACGACGATGACTGCGTTTTTGTAGCTCACAATTACCCGTACACTTACACTGATCTCCAGGAATACCTGATCAAGCTGCAGGTATATTTTCAAAGTGTAAATCTGCATGTTTGGATGTTTGTCTTTACGCGGTTTGCTTTCCTTAGAATCACCCGGTAAAGTCAGCGTATACCAAGTTGAGGCTCCTGTGCAAATCGCTTGCAGGCAATAATGTTTATTATTTGACTGTCACTGACCCTACTGAAGATGATAGCAACACAAAGGTACTTTTCATTGTCAAATTTTAATCAACCTGTAATTCTACATGAAGAACTATTTTTAAATGAGTCGTTACTGAATAATAGAGCTAACAGTATTCTGTCCCAGTATATAATTTTTCAATACCATCTCTTATTACAATGGTCATAATTTTTTATAATTTAGCCTAAAAAGAAAGCAGTGGTTATGACAGCAAGAGTGCATCCAGGTGAATCACCTGCTTCATGGATGATGAAAGGCGTCATGGACTTCATAACAGGCGACTCTGCACAAGCAAAGGTGCCACTTAACAAAAATTAACCTACCGTAGCCACAAAAACAATAAAATAAATTAAATGACTTTTTACAGGAATTGAGGGAGAAATTCATATTCAAGCTCATACCAATGTTGAATCCAGATGGAGTCATCGTCGGCAACAACCGGTGTTCACTCTCTGGCAGAGACTTAAACCGACAATACAGGACTGTGATCAGGGAAACTTACCCTCCTGTTTGGCACACAAAACTAATGATCAAAAGGTGATTTATAAACAATTTTTCATATGTTAAAATAGATAAAAAGTAACTATAGGTTTGAAAAGCAAATCAAACTTAAACTTATTTTATGGACACCATGGATGACTTTGCACAGACAATATCAAAATGTCTCGCCAAACAAGTCCAAACATTAATTAAAACATTTTTTAATCATACTTTTTTTTTTAAATTGTGAGATTTCTCTGTGTGCTCTGTGGGTGATAAACCTGTAATTTTGTCGGAATTAATCATTTTAGCCTGCAAATCTAATCCAGGGGGGATGGGTAGACCTAAATGATCGGTAATGACCAAATTACATATATTTTTGTATACTCATAAATTCGAAGCATATAAATAAAAAACACTAGAGTTGTGTTATTTGTTGATTTAGTATTATTATTTACAATTATTTCAATTGCAATTTACAGTTGAATGTATGACTCTTACTTGATATGTATTTCAATTTTCCATATTCAAGACTAATTGAAGAGTGTGGTGTGGCCATGTACTGTGATCTTCATGCACATTCTCGTAAACATAATGTATTCATTTATGGCTGTGAAAATAAAAGGATAGCTGAGAAACGACTCCAAGAGCAAGTGTTCCCTTTGATGCTGCATAAAAATACTGCAGATAAAGTAATTTATTTTATTTTACTCTCTTTAATATTATTTACTAATGTCTGAAAACAATTGTTTTAGTTTTCTTTTGAAAACTGCAAATTCCGAATTAACAAAGATAAAGAAGGAACAGGACGTGTTGTAATTTGGATGATGGGTGTCGATAATAGTTACACTCTCGAAGCATCATTTGCAGGTTCCACACTCGGTTCCCGGCATCATACTCATTTTTCAACTATTGATTATGAGATGATGGGGAAATCGTTCTGTGAGACGTTGCTAGACTATGTTGACGAAACACCAGGAAAGGTAAACTCCTTTATCTACTCTGTGGCCAACACCCACAAATAAATATATTTAATATTCATCTAAGTCAATTTTTTTTATTTTTGTTTATGCTTACAATGTCTCTGCCATGCGTGAGTAATTTTAAGCTCTTGTTAACAAGTCAGAAAGAAGGTTGGCTCTCGACATTTTAAAATCACATCTACAACTCAGAAATGACCAAAATGTTTAGGTCTTAGATGAGCTGTTCACGGCACTGTAAAAAAAAAAAAAAAGTTTATGACTTAAAATAAACCTTACCCTTACTCAACTATGTCAAAATGATATAATTGTTAAAGTTTGAGAAGTTTCACTACAATCCATATTTGTTTTATATGGTATCTGTTATGAACTTTATACATTCTAAGTTCACTAAGATTTCCTTTTAATATTTGCGGGATGATGAGTTTGCAGTTTGATGATCTCCAATCTTCAATCTGACAGACTAAAATGGCAAGGATGGGCGCTAGGGATGATCAGAAACAATGAAACTAAAGATTTCATTTTTTTTTCTTCATAATTACTAAAAACGTATTTTTCTAATTTAATGATAATATTTTATCCGTACTTTTGCCATAATTCAGACCAGCTAATATCCTGCACACAATAAAATAATAACAGTAGTGAAAGTAGTATGCTCACACATACCAACTTTGATCAGTAATGACTAGCTCCTGAGGGCCAACCACTATGCACTATTAATTGTGTTCAAACCTAGATTTTTCAAAGTAATTTACAAAAAATTCACATAAATTAATTGATCATTGGATTGATTTGATAATAGAATCAATGTTAGAACTGTTAGAACGCAATTAGTACATGTTTATACAAATCACCACTTTATTTCTGTAATCTCCCTACCAAAAATTACAATTCTTTCTTGTTGTCTGTCTAATACAGGCTGATTTTATAGCTGAGATTGAGATCCAAAATTGTACTCAAGCTCCAAAAAGAAGGGTCAAGCGCAGACGAGCCCGCAAACATTGAGCTTTCGGATTACTCAAGGTAAGGACTGGTTTTACTCGTAGTGCTATCCACAATTGTCATATTTCTCTTCTCCAGCGATGAAGGCGAGTTGAGTGATTTGAGCGAAGACGAAAAACGGAAAAGGGAAGAATACATCCTGACTGCTCCACCGCCTTCACCAGTTATACCAAACGAAAAAAAAAATAGTCAGAAGGTAGTAGCACAAGAGGAGAAAAGCTTTTCTAAAATGCAATTACCAGCACTCTTTTATTTAATAGTTATGTTTAAAATCCACCCTCAACTAGTAATTTATTATTTTACTTAAACAAATATATTTCGCTGTTTTCAGGAAATGTAAAAAAAATTCAAAATTAATTTCAAATTTATGGTAAAGTACTCGAAAAAGTTACATGTTAATTTTTTTCTTTTAGTTTAATATTATTTTAATACAAATTGATATTTGGAGGTAATATTTACTTTAAATTGAATATGATGTACTAATAGTTCAAGTTATTGACAGGTTTTTATAGTGTTCAATATTCACAATGTTTTTAAAAACATAATTATTTTTTTAGCCTTCACAGTGGACCTAAAACAGGCAAAAAAATTAGATTCTGCATTGAAAAGGAATATTACTTTTGGGCACTTTGTGAAAGCATTTAAAAAAAAAAAGATTTTAATAAACTTTATTTTTATACTGACTTTGTTATTTGTTTGTTTATTGTTATTTCATATGTGGACATTTATTTCGAATTGGTAAACAAATAATAGGACGTGTATTATAGTGTAACTTTTTGTTTGTTTGGTGGGGATGAAAAGAATTGGCTCTTCTACAGGAGGCCTAGCTCTCTTTCTGATGGAACTTCAGGAATTTGAGTTCTACTAGTATTTACCTCGCCACATTTGGTGAAAAAGTTTACAACCGATGCATACCTAAGCATTCAAACTTAGCCTAACCTTACTTTCAGGGTACTCAATATTCTGCTGCCCCATCACGCTAATAAATACAGTCATACTGATTTTAACATTTCATGTACAGATAAAAATTGGGGAGTCACTGGGCTAATAATATTATGCCTGTGCCTCATCCCCCTTTTACTCAAAAAACAGCTAACCTACTGCTAACCTCGTTTGGTGGGTCTGTGGGGTATTCTACATTCCACCACAACCCACCCATTTGTAACTGTTGTGTAATACTAGATATTAATACATTTTCAAGTATCAAATTTAATTTTAATAATTGTTTCCTGTATTATTAATCGCGGGGTAAAAATCGACAAAGGAAGATTATTAATGTAAATATATTAATATGTACATACCATATAATTGTAGCTTTGGATGACGATATAAGTTCATGTTATGAACTGACATAATGCAGTTTTCATTTATTAATGAATTTTGCATTAAAATCACGATAGCTTTCAATTGAAAAAGTTTAACACTGAGAAACTTTACAGGAAGCAAGTCCAAAGCCTCACAAACACCATCAGCCAGTTATTGTTTATTCACCACCTGTTCAAAGAAAAGCGATGCAGGTTAAGCAAAGCAAATGATTCGGAACTTTTAGACCTCAAATAGCATGCTTAGGATGAGCACAAGCTTGTCACTTGTACTAGTAGATTATTGCAAAAGCTTATTCTAGTTAATAGGATTTTTTACTATAATTAGATGATTTTAGGGCCTGCAAACTATTGCATCGGTCATCACCAGCCCAATAATTATGATAATCTGTTTTATTTATTTATTTAACAATTAAAAATGTGCGCATTAAAATATGTAAGGACCCAGTTAAATTTAAAAAATAAACATAATACATTTCAGTCTAAGGTGATGAATAGTGGGCAGTTTTATTATAAACATTAATTTTTATGTCTTAGTTGGAGTTATTATCAACACACAATTTATGAAGGCTACTTTTTGTCACTTGTACCTTAATCATTGCCATTTTTATCTATTACACACAATTAAAAATATAAATAAAGAATGGTACTAACAGGAAGATTTATAAGTAGTAGTAATAATAATAAAACTTTACTAAAAACTTACAATTATAATTATTATTAGTTTTTTTTTATTACCAAGGGTTCGCATCAGCAGAGATATCAACCTTTGGGGTGTAGGTGCTTTTGAAAAAAAAAAAAAAAAAAAAAAAAATTTGGATTCATACTTTACCTTACAGTAATGAGTGCCGTGTCAATTCCTAAACCATCTCGGCCATTGACACCCCCCTCCTTACAATTATTATTCAATTTATAAGTTTTTTAAAATCAAAAAGTAAAAGAGTAAAAGTGCTTCTTATTAGAGAATATTACCAATTGAATGAATTTTAAAAAAGAAAGAAAAAAAACAGCAAATCAAGGACTGTTTAAAACAGAAACGATGCAAGAATGCTGACATACTTGATGACCACTCAAATCTTACTTTCCGGGTGTGTCAACTAAGAGACGAACATCACTCTGACCAGAAATGGGAGAATATCTTCCCTCAGCAGGTTTTTCTTGCAGAAAAAATAATAATTCTCTTACTTCCCTGAGTTATGGACGTACACCTAAGAAATGATAACAATCCTATCATACATTTAGACGTGCAAGCATATTTCGACATTTGAGCCTTTTTCTAGCCATGACTTGTAATTCAGATAGAGCGAATTGCCCCGGAGTTTAAGAAATGATAGATGGCACTTATTTTAGATGGGAGTAGTGATAACCGAGCACCCCATAAAGACATATGCTCTGAAGTACTTAAGAAATTACAAGAATGTTTTTGAAACAGTGATATCCTTTGAACCAAAAGGTCTTCTTTTATAGTACTCGGAGGCAAAGAGAGGAGACAAGGCAGCCTCAATGGCCAAATGAACGACCAAAGTAGCGATTGTTGATAATACCTTCAAAAGTAAATAATATTTTTATTACAAAGTTTTTAATACAAATTTGAACCATAAAATTTATAATGTAATTTCAAACATATTCACTGATACTTTTGTACATTTTCAATAATAGATGTTTGATAATAAACAAGTTTATTAATGACTCAGTAATTAATAAATAACTCCTTTGAATAATAAACAAACCTGAACGTAAGCGAATGATCCTATAATCAATACGTGACTGGATGTTATTACTACTTATTAAAAATTTAATACACCGGACTTAATTAGGTAGTGTAAAAAAATGTTTAGCCTAATTACATATGTTTGTTTTAAGTTTTAAAAAAATGTTTAATGCCTACAATGATATGAAAATCGGCAAAAGAATATTATATTCGCGAGTTTTATCCAGATGAAACCGAAAAATGTAAAACGAAAGACCATACAACTCAACAAAATACACTGACAGGCAAAAAATTCCGCCCACTTGTAATATAACTTGATTTGTATATATTTTTATATATTAATCAAAGTTTTACGTTTTTTAACGTTTAATAATTGAGCCTTTGTCTAAAAAAGTAAAAAAAGTGTAAATTGCTAAGGAACATGAAAAAAATTGTTTTAGATTTTTAATTAACTTCCATTAATTAAGTTTTTTGGTTGAGATAAAAAAAGTCATTGTCACGAGCGGGATTCGAACCCACGACCTTCGGCTTGATACGCCGCTACCACTGGTACCACTCACCAAGTGGTAGAGTAGCGGCGTATCAAGCCGAAGGTCGTGGGTTCGAATCCCGCTCGTGACAATGACTTTTTTTCTCAACTAAAACCCTTAATTAATTGAATGATATTAATTGGTCAAGCAGACCACGAAAACTAGTGAATTTAATGTTTTTAATTAACATTTCAATATCGCGTATTTCCTCCTCTTGCCTTAATTACATCTCGAAGACGCCTCGGCATACTTTCTACTAGTCTGGAAATGCCTCTTTGCTGGAGGTTAACCCTTTCTTCATGAAGAGTCCTTTCAAGATCGTGGAGTGTATCAGGAAGTGATGAACGTGCTTTTATACGTCTTTTGACGTTTCCCATAAATGTTCGATGAGGTTCAAGTCTGGAGAACGGGTTGGCCAGGCTATGATCCTGCTGTTATGCTGCCGAAGGTACGTTTGTACTATGCGAGCGACATATGGACGGGCATTATCCAGGCCAATCGTCCAAAGACCAATGGCTGTGTTCTCGAGCAGATGCGAACCGTGCACCTCTGAGTGTTCTGGTCATTTCCTGGAGCTGAGGAATCGCTTGAACAACAGTGAAGTGCTGGTTTCGCAAAATTCTCAAAGTCAAAAAACGGTCATCCTGTGAAAGTTTAAAAATTGAAATGAAGAAAACAAAGATGCAAAGTAAACAGTTCATTGCTTCAGAATTCAAATAAGACTGAATAAAGATTTTAAATTCCGTAAAAAGTAAACATTGAAAAATCCTTTACCTTGTTTTGGATTAAAGATTAAGTGTTTTTACGTCTAATTGATACTCCCAATTGAAAATATAGCATAGACAAATATTTATTGATAAAAACAATGAGACAAATTAAGGGCAGAATTTTCTTTTGTCGAGAAAATGAAAAAAAAAATCAGTTGGATGGAATTTTATGTTGACAGTGTATTATTACCGAGAGCATTGTTAGATCAATTATCCCAGTAATTGAATATTGAATTTATGATTATTACTGGGAAAAAAATGAAAACTGTGTAAAGTATTTTAAAGGTCGCCATTCACTGTCGCTCCAGATGACCAAATGAGGCGGTGCGAAGGCAAAATCGCATAGCGAATGCGAATTCGGAGCGGTGCGGATCATCCGGCTGGATATTCCAATCCAATCTGCACCATCACGCCAACGCTTCAATCCATACTGAATGGGGAAATCGTACGTAGAACACGCCGTTTCCCTAGCCAATGGTACAAAAACCTATGAAAATCCTGCGTCATTCTGCTCCAGAAATCATTCCAGGCGTACATCATACTGTTTCTGTCCCAATATAATGTAAAGAATTTTGTTACGAGTCTTATATAATAATTATTATGACTGGACGCGATTTTATATTACAAGTAATTGACAGGTGTAGGGAGGTTTTCGTGTCTGACAAGTGACACATCCGGACTTCATATCAAATAACATAAAATCGGATGGTGACTGATAATCTTTTCTGGGTACTCTGATAGAGTAACTGATTCTTATGGGACAAATTTTTGCTCGCCCGATCTTAAATAATGCCAGTTTCATAGCTCTAAACGGATTTTATTGCTGTTTTACCAATATTCTTTTCATTTTCTTCATTGATTTTATCCCAAAAGAAAAAAAGCTGTTGCGATTAGTTTTGCTTTGACGTCGTTCATGTTTTGACTGAAAGCCACATCGGTGCGGTAGTCAATGTCCCGCCCTGTTTGGATGCGAACCGTTCGTTGTGTTTCCATTTGGATTACAGTGAATGTCGGCCTTTTGTACGATAGTCTTTACTATTTATAAACATGCCGAGGCTTTCGCACAAAAAAGCCACTTAAACGCCAAGCAAACCCCCCTCTACCAAGGGAACTTAAAAAGCACAGAAACTTAGACAAATTGGACGAAATGATTGAATCTGGCACAGCAAGCACCGTGAAACGAATTGGCGATGTTAAGACTTAACTTTGCCTCCTGAATGCACCCAGATTCCCACGGCAAGGCCGGATTTGGACGGCGGCGATGGGATTTCCTCAGGTGACGAGCATTCTTTTGCCAAGCAGACTTCGCCGATCAGAACGGAACAGAAAAACGCGGATCAATCGCAGACTTCGGCCAAAGCCGAACGGCCTGCTATGCCACCAGAGTTAATTGTCACCTCAACACAAGTAAATCATTACTTCTTCCATCTTAAAGGCTCGTATTAATATTTTATGCTCTTTAATTCCAACAGGGAAACGATCTTAATGTATTCGAGCGACTGTACAAAGCCGCGGAAATCTCAAGATGTAAGTATGTTATGAAAGAGTTTGTTATTAGTTTATTACGTTTTAAATATGTACTACTTTAGATTCGATTCACTATTTATTTTGATGACATTTACAATTTATCCAATTAATTAATCTTTATGTAAGGTATTGGTTGAAATGAAAAAGTTAGCGTTACGAGCGGGATTCGAACCCACGACCTTCGGCTCAATACGCCGCTGCTGTAACCACTTGAGCTATAGTGACTTCGATCCACTCGGGCACCACCTCCCCATATCAACCCACCTTTCAAATTTTCCCTCTTTTTTGCCATTTTTCAAATGCCGAGTAATCAGAATTCGATTCTCGGCGACAAATAAAATGGCCACGGAGAGCTCTTAGTGAAGATATACTTCATTTTACTTATTAAATCCATTACATTTCGTGGTACGGTTGACCAAATAACTTCTTTCAATTAATTAATCTTTATGTAAGGTATTGGTTGAAATGAAGAAGTCAGTGTCACGAGCGGGATTCGAACCCACGACCTTCGGCTCAATACGCCGCTGCTCTAACCACTTGAGCTATAGTGACTTTGATCCACTCTGACACCAACTCCCCATCTCAACCCACCTTTCAAATTTTCCCTCTTTTTTGCCATTTTTCAAATGTCGAGTAATGAGAATTCGATTCTCGGAGACAAATAAAATGGCCACGCTCTTAGTAAAGATATACTTCGTTTTACTTATTAAATCCATTACATTTCGTGGTTCGATTGATCAAATAACTTCTTTCAATTAATTAATCTTTATGTAAGGTATTGGTTGCAATGAAAAAGTCAGTGTCACGAGTAGGATTCGAACCCACGACCTTCGGCTCAATACGCCACTACTCTAACCACTTGAGCTATAGTGACTTAGATCCACTCGGACACCACCTCCCCATCTAACCCATCTTTCAAATTTTCCCTCTTTTTTGCCATTTTTCAAATGCCGAGTATCAGAATTCTATTCTCGGCGACAAATAAAATGGCCACGCTCTTAGTAAAGATATACTTCGTTTTATTTATTAAATCCATTACATTTCGTGGTACGATTGACCAAATAACTTCTTTCAATTAATTAATCTTTGTGTAAGGTATTGGATGAAATGAAAAAGTCAGTGTCACAAGCTGGATTCGAACCCACGACCTTCGGCTCAATACGCTTCTGCTCTAACCACTTGAGCTATCGCGACTTCGATCCACATGGACACCTACTCCCCATCTCAACCCACCTTTCGAATTTTCCCTCCTTTTTTGCTATTTTTCAACCAATACTTTACATAAAGATTAATTAATTGAAAGAAGTTATTTGGTCAATCGGGACACGAAATATAAAGGATTTACAAATTATATTGAAATCTGGTTTTCTCACAGTTACAGAAATGTACGAAAACTGTACTTTTGGTTCACTCAAAATAAATAATTGCACAAAATCAATGGGTTCTCCTTAATCTCATAGGGGTATCATTAACAAATAAAATCATTCATAATTGCATCCGTCATCGATGTGATTATTGCTGATCATATTTGGGCCCGCCTATTCTGATCCACTGACGGCCAGGTCTCACGACGTCTACGGACGACGGCAGATTTTCGATCCTCATTTCGAACCAGTTAGAAGAATACGCGGGTCCAGAGGTGGCTTAATATTGTCAACACAGCTTAGTTTAGTTGCCTCTAGTAGTTCAACCGACCGTTACAATTTCATGTTTTAAGCTGGTCAATTGGCTTTGTCAAAATCATCGTCGAGAAGAGGCAGTTACCGGAAAATTAGCCCAGTAAGGCCAAGGAGGAAACTCGTAAGGTAATACTTGAAGGTATTATACCATATATCTATGTTTTCAAGGTAACCATACGGATTTTTATTTAAATTATCCACTTTTTTTAAATGGGAGAGAATCGTATGAATTCTGGGATTTTTTTAATACAGATATTGGCATAAATCGAAAAATCACTCGCCTATATTAATTTAAGGTATTTCCCAAAAAATCGAAATAAAGCAGCTAGACCTATGGTAATGGCAGTAATTAAATCAATTTAATGCATGAATATTAAATGGTGTAGGAAATCAACTTAAACGTTTTGTTTACAGATGGATTTTATCAAAGTTTTCCGACCTTAATTAACTACAGCAGCTTCAACATCGGATTTTTTTGGGGCTGGTTCATTAATTCCCACCAATAGTACATTAGCTCGGATTTGGAGATAAATTGTTATATGCTGCTAATTATTTTCCGGAGAAGTAATTAACGGACATTTGTCTTCTACATATACAAATAACGGGGTTGTTAAAAAGTAGAACGTAGAAAGCCACCAATCGGTTGAATGGGATCGGTGGAAATTTTATAAAATTGTTAACGAAAATTTTAAAATTGCTACGTTAAATTTGTCCTCGTCACTTGAAGGCAAAGCGGAGAGTTGAGTGACCCCGAGTGCAGATCTTCCGAGGTTAAAATGCCGATAAGGCAACATTTCTGGAGAGTCTTGTCGAGCGATAACCTCCCCTGGAGTTGCCGTAAAGATGAACACGAGCAGATTTTAAAGTAAGCCCACTGTGCGGGCAAAGTCAGAGGAGGTAGTCTAGATTGTTAAACGGGTATTTTTTTGCAGAGCTTGCTCTCAAAAGCTGGCCGAGTTGAAAAAGAAGCACAAGATCAAGATCAAAGAGAAAATTGAAATAGACGCCGTCAAAGCGCCGTTGAAAAGGAAGGTCAAACGGAGACCAAAGTGAGTGGTTGGGTTTTCCTTTACTAACACAATTCTTATTTATTCTTCTTTTCTCTCACTCATTCTTTTATATATAATAGCATGGGAATTGAAAGAATGACGACAATCAGCTTCGAACACGTCAACATACACGATTCGATGAGGGTCAAGCCGTTTCGCCAAGTAGAATTCAAGAAGCCTGAAGAAGAGTAGGTATTTCCAAAGAAATCAACGTTTTCTAATTAACTAATTATGATTGTTTCAGGCCATTGAGGAAAAGTATAAAAAAGGTGCCTAATCGGAAGTTCAGAAAGGGGGGCATTGTGTCTCTAACAACGGTCCACGCAAATAACACAGGTAAAGATTAAGTTGAACAATAAATCCATGTAAGTTTCGGGTTGTTTATTGATTTAGAAGCCAGCGGAGACGAGTCAGTGGAAAATAGTTCTACCTCAAAGAAGAAAAAGAAGAAAAGAAAGCTGTTGCAGCTGCCGAAATCGGTGAAGAGTGCAGTTAGCGCTGTGACTGCGGTGACGACTTCCACCAAAAAGGGACGGAAAGACGCATCTGCAAAGAAGAACTGATACGAGGAAAATACTCTGCATAAAACGCTACAGCGTTTCAGACTGTATCGATGTGTTCGTTAACTTTTTTTTTTAAATTTCACTCATAATTCTTTTCCGTTTGCTTCTCGACAAAACAATTACGACAAAGTTTGCAAAAGCTGCACGAAAGATTAGATTAGGATTTTTCGGATATTTTTTACCCCCAAAAAAGTCTGAAAACCTTGAAAGTATTTGAAACACACTTGAATATTTTAAAGATAATATTAGAAGTTTGCTTGCTCAAAATTTTTTTAAGAAATTAGTTTGTCACAAAGTATAAAATCATGAGGAGTCTTCTAGGCTAGACTTTTTGTACGCATTTTTCAATAAAAAGAAATAAAAGAATACATTTGTTTTTACAATCTACCTAACAATCTCCCATTACGTTATATATTATACATGCCTCTAGATAGTTTCAAATGTCATACAAAACGAGCATTTCACTGCACTATTTTTATTTTCTAATGTGCTATGCTTGATCTATATAAACTTTCACAAACATTTCAAAATCGGACGATTGACGCGCTCTTTAATTAAATTTAACGGTAACGAGAATATTTTATGCCCAAATAGACAGTACGGGAGAACTGCCGCTCCATGCAATCGTACTTATGATAAAAAAAACTTTTATCACTTCTCGAATTGTAATCCGTTTTTAGCGAATTCTTTTAATTCGATTGGTCTTAGAAAGCTGTTTAAGTCTGTAAAAATAGATATCATTTTTTAAAAGGAAAATGTTCTACAATTTTAATCAGAATATTTCCGCATTAAAATAAGTACTGATAGCAATTGTTTACAAATTTCAAATGACGTTTAATTTGTAAAAAACGTTTCTCATTCCAACGATGTATAATATGACATGGTTTTTAAAGTTTAAACTGAGAAAATAGATTAGACAGAGAAAAAGAAAGAGAGAAAGAGAGAGAGAGTGAGAAGGAGAGAGGTAGAGAGAAAGAGAGAGGTAGAGAGAAAGAGAGAGAGAGAGAGAGAGAGAGAGAGAGAGAGAGAGTGAGAGAGAGTGAGAGAGAGAGTGAGAGAGAGAGAGCGAGAGCGAGAGAGAGAGTGAGTGACAGAGAGAGAAGGGAAAAATCCTATTATTCTATTCTATTGTGTTTACACTCCCCTATTCTTTTTCTCTTTCTACACCATTTACAAAAACGGCGGTAATTTTGAAACTTCTCAACAGACACGCCGGAACCTCCTAGATAATGGTTTAGAACAGAATGAGATATGTACAAGTAATATACATACAAAAGTAAATTGGTCTCCGAAAATAAATTAGGGCCGATGACACTTATTGAAAATTTGCCGAGTTGTTGATTTCAGCCTTATTTTTTAAAATGGTTTCGAAACAAAATCTAAACCTGTTGGCATACATAGGCTGAAAGAAGAAGTAAGCTTTCTAACAGCTGCAATAGGTTGCATTTGGATAAAATCCAAATTTCATTCTGAGGAGGACACTAGACATAGGAGGAGAAGAAAATCCCTCCCAGTTAATCCTGCCCGAAAACCTCGTATTTTTTGTTTATCTTGCATATTATTATTTTTTTGGAGGGTGATTTGTCACATCCTCGATTTTCAAATTATATTACTTAGTGAATATAACTACTTAACTATAAGAACTTTCTTATAATGCGACCCGTATCCAAAAGGATTGCCTTCTTGACCTCCATGACAAATCGCTCGGCAGACTTATATCACTAATAATTGTCAGTGTTGCTTTAGGTACAATACCACCTGTAGATACTATTATTGGTACAATCTCCACTCTCCAAAATTCTAACTTCTTTCTGCAAGTTTTTTTTATTTGTATTGTTTTTGTAGTCGCTTGCTTAGATGGGTATGTATATATACTAGGATAAATTCGCCTTTAGTGTTGATGGAGAAGTCCTTTAGCTGCTTTATTGTGCTCAGACTGTCCTTTAGAATACATATTTTACGCGACTCTAGGACTGATTCGGAATTGAAAGCTACTCTTTCGCTTTGTAATAATTGGTCTTTACTTTGTGTTTTTCTTTTCGATTTAAAAAGTCCCTCTGAGCCCTCAATGAAACTAATTCAATTAAGCGTATAATTCAAACTCCCTTTCGCCAACAACAGAATGTTTACTCTCTAGGGATAAATGACAGTTTGTTGTTATCGAACGAAAGGGGTGGAATGGGACAAATTTGCATCAACGGAGCTGCCGCTTGTTTCTCTGAAAACAACATGAAAGTGTAGTTCCAGCTATCGGTCATAAGCCGTTCCATCTCGAGACGATATTGCAATGTCTACCAGATAACGTGACGTAAATAATGCGTTGTAATTTTTCATTTTTAAAATTTGATACCGGTTTATTAACATTTTTTACGAGGGTTTGCAGCAGAGGTCATATCAACCCTCGGAGTGTCGGTGTTTTTGAAAAGAAAAGCCTATTTGTAAACAGGGCCACTGAATTCGAACCCGGGACCTTTACCTTAGAGTGATGAGCGCCGTGTCAACGCCTAAACCGTTGCGGCCACCGACGCCCCTTATTAACCGTATTAACAGTAACTGTAATTAGTTGTTACAATTAATGTGCACTAATGGTAACCCATCAATTCCATCTTGGTCTACATTTTCTCGCTGACTTGATCTGTCAGACGGAACTACCACTGCCGATGGCTAAACGCATCTTTTAGACCAAAATAGCGACAGTGGGACATCAAAACGTAATGTCACAATTGATAACAATTGATAGTATTTCTTTCATAGTATCTATTTATTCGCGATGGAACCTCGTCAATGCTTGTTCGTGCTAAAGTCCAACGCTTTTAGTCCAGCAGATTAAAAAAAAACTTAAATCTGCTGGAACTAAAAACGTTTATACACACACACATATATATACCGGGTGACTACAGGGGTGTTTCTACTCACCATATGCAACAAAAAACATCCCATAAACCCCTGTCCAAATCTCAACGGTAAAGATGTAATTTCAGGTTTTTTATTTTATTTTTCGACTTAGGTCCAATAAATTTCTTATAACTTCAGAATGACTGTAGAAAAATATGGTCTGTGCCACCTGAAAGAACGTTAAATCTGCTGGGAAAACTTATTTACTTGCAGAATACTTTTTTATCTCAACCAATACCTTACATAAAGATTAATTAATTGAAAGAGGTTATTTGATCAATCAGAGCACGAAATCTAATGGATTTAAAAAACAAAAATGTTGAAATTTGGAATTTTTTGAAAATGTTGAATTGGTAACTGTTAATAACTTCACTGGTTTCGTGGTCCGCTTGACCAATTAACATCTTTCAATTAATTAAGTTTTTTAGTTAAGATAAAAAAGTCAGTGTCACGAGTGGGATTCGAACCCACGATCTTCAGCTAGATACGCCGCTGTTCTACCACTTGAGAGAGGTCACATAGCTCAAGTGGTAGAGCAGCGGCGTATCTAGCCGAAGATCGAGGGCTCGAATCTCGCTCGTGACACTGACTTTTTTACCTCAACTAAAAACCTTAATTAACTGTAAATAACTACAAACTCCTGGCGCTTTGCAAATTCGCTCAACAGTTCCCCATTCCATTAGCTTCTAGTGGTATACCCAACCTTTTGAATTGCGCTTCTGGAAGGCCCAACAATTATTGCATTTTTTTGAAAAAACTTGTGTCGATGAAAGGGGGCACGCTCCATTTTTTCAGTTCGTATGGAATGAAATGACCACCAGCAAGGAAGAAGAAAAATCGAATCGCTGCTTGTGGTAATTTCGTTCCAAAGTTTGCATATGGTGAAAATTTCGACAATTATCACAGACACACTGTATATAATAACAATATAATTTAGACCGGTTTGGACTTACGGAGTTGAGCTGTAGGATTCAGCCAAGCCATCCAAAATCCAAATAATCCGATCCTTTCAATCAAAACTTTTCCGACGCATCCTCGACGATCCGTTCCATTCCACTAACCACCCACACCGAGCTTACATCCCATACGGGACGGACATGAACCAAACACGATTCCACAACTTCCATCGTAGCAATCCTCCACGCTACCTAAAAAGTCAGTGACTTCGTGACCTCTTAACAACCCTATACCAACCAACCAACAATCTTAAACACAGAACTCCAGTTATGACCAGCTCCCCTCCCCCCATCCTCGTGGTCTGACTGGTTCCTGCCAAATTCTTTCTTGATCGCTACCAACAAATTGGTAAATGTATAAAAGTTTCTTACAGAAAGAAAAAAACACCTAAACAATCCAGAATTTGAAGTAAATAATCGGATATTTGACAGAGGGATTGTATAAAACTAACCCCAATTAGTCGAATACAAATAATTAATGTTTGGTGTTTAGTGACTGTTAGTTGATGATTATTTGGAGATCGTGAGATGCGCTCTGGTGTGACGTAGGTTTTGGAAAAAATTTTCTTTATCGTGCCAACGTTTCGATCTTTATTGAGATCATCTTCAGAGCCGGGGATTTATAAACATTGTTTAAATTATGCACACGTGAGTGCAAATACTTTGATTGAGACTAAACTTTCTAGCATTGTATAAATTCATTTTTTCCCATCCTACATTATTTGGATAATTTAAACACAACATTTCACCATCTTCCGTGTTGCATAGAGTTCTAAAAACTTTTTTCACACTCTGATGAAAGGGACTTTATTTTCACGTATTGACTTTCAGTAACAAGAACCAGAAAGGAATAATAATATTGTTAAAAATAAGTGGCGTCAGGGATTCAAAATATATATTACTGTCGAAAACTCACAAAAGAGAAATAACTGAACTAATAATCAAAAAGGAATCAATGGAAGCTGATAGAGGAGGTCTTTGCGTACTCGAAATCCTCAAGTCTCAAACTCGAACGACTGTGGGTGCTGACTCGGCTTATCTTTTCGAATTTCATTTGTTTCTCTACTTTTGTTTTCTTCTCATCGAGTCATCGACAGATCCAGACAGGCAGCGACCCCTTCAGCGTCAGGATCTACGCGTCTCCCGCGTCGCTTAGAAATCCTATCGGAGAAGCTAACAATATCATTAAAGAAATTAAAAAAATATAAAAACACATTCATGTAAGTAAATATAAATTAGATAAAACAGAAAAATATGGAAATGACACTTGCATATCAAAATCAATCATAACATCTATTAGGTTTCGTGGTCCGATTGACCAAATAAATTCTTTTCATTATATATATATATATAATAGATGTAATAAGAAAATGAAGTATACTACACTAAAGCTCTCCGTGGCCGTTTCATTTGTCGCCGGGAATCAAATAGATTACACGACATTTGAAAAATGGCAAAAAAGAGGGCAAATTAAAAAAAAAAAAG